GGGCCAGTCTTCATATAGGAGACAAGGTGGCACAGTGGTTAGAGTGCAGCACTGCAGGCTACTGCTAGATCAGCAGTTCAGCGGTTCAAATCTCACCGGCTCAGGGTTGACTCAGCCTTCCATCCTTCCGAGGTGGGTAAAATGAGGACCCAGATTGTTGGGGGCAATATGCTGACGCTTAGAGAGGGCTGAAAGCCCTATGAAGCGGTATATAAGTCTACTGCTATTGCTATATTGCTATACCTCCAAAGAACCACATATAACTTTTTCTTTCCAACCATTCTTGCTTTCATAGCCAAACAGGCATTTCTTCTCCTCTTGCCTAACAACTGGGCAACTTTTATGTCAGAATACACCGACTCAAGACCCTCAAATCCCCACACGGGAAAACGGGGGAAAGACGAGAGCATTAATTTCTCAAACTATTTCATAGGCTGCCACCATCTCAGGCAGAAAAAAAAAAAAACCTGGTAGGAAGAAGTGGTAGCTCTTGAAGTGCGGGAGAGTTCTAGCTCTCTGCCGCCACCTCTTGACTGCCCGGAGTTCTTCACTCTAGTTATGACGACCATATTCGACCACGGAAACATCGGCCTACTTCTTCGTGTTCCCGTCCTCTTATATGTGAAATCGGGCAGCCGGGACCAAAAATAAAAGCAGATCCACTTAAACAGAAATAATAAAAGGCGGGATTAAAAACAACTTTACAAGTACACGTATCTCAACGTAACATGGGAAAGTATCCAGAAGAGAGTTTCACAGCAAAAAATAAAAAATAAAAAAGGAGCTAGCGATCGTGAGTGCATCAGTCAGCACTTAAGGTCCGGCTATAAGTCAACCGTATTATATATACGGTTACATTCTGCCTCCGGAGCTTCTTTTCCGGGGCGCTATACATCCGGCAAAGAGGAAACGGTAGCAAAAAGCGCCATCCGCGGTCCAACCGCTTTAAGCCTCGGTGCAGCACCCGACAGCCATACAACGGCCCTGTGGCGGTCACGTGATCGCGATAGGGGGCGGGATCCAATATAAGCGTCGCGCGGGCGGTGTCTCGGCCGCATTTTGAGTACTGTCCAGCCCAGGCGACTTCTTGTAAGTAAACTCCAAAGTTCCTTAGCCTCCCCCCCCCCGCCCCGCGGGGGTGGAAAAAAAACCGCGCTTAGCCCGTTTACAAGGGGGAAAATGAAGGGGCTCCTGCTCTTGGGGAGCGGGAGGCGCTCGCGAAGGCCGCGCGCGCGCACGGCAGGCGAAAGGAAAGCGAAGAAAAAAAGCTCGCGCCCTGAACGAAAGCCTCGCCAACTGCCAAAGGAAATAAGCGTAGCCATGCGGTGCGCGCGTGCGTGGTGGAGGGCATGGCGTGGGGGGATGGGGGGCACGAGGGAACAAAACGTTCCCTCGCGCGGGGTTAACAAAATGGCGCTCAGAGCGCAGCTATAGAAGCTCCCGTCTCCTCGCCTTCGTTATTTCTCTCGAGCCGCCGCGAGGCTTCTGCGGCTTTGTTCCCGGGCAACGAATAGACGGGGGCCTCTTTGCTGGCTGGGGGAGCGTGGATTAAAGCGTCCTTCTTTAAGGATCCTGAGCCCAAACGGGCAGCTAGGTAAAAGTTAAACTTTGAAATGACGACGAGGGCGGAACAGGCTCGTGGGCCGCTTCCGCTTAGCGGCCTGGCGAAACGGTTACGGTCACGTGGAATTCCGGATACCCTGTGACGTTCGGAGCCATGTGCTCGGTTCAGGCCTAGCGATTCTCCATTGGTAGATTCGCCGGAATTACCCGCGCCGTGGCGAGTAGAATAATGGAAAGTCGTTTAGGGTAGTTCAGTAGTTTACCAGGTTTTGTTACTGCTCCTGGTGGACTCTCGGTCGTTTGGTTTACGTCCCTCGTAAGGAAATATGGCTAGTATATTGTATCGTATAATAAATGTCTGTGATTAATATATATACGCGTATATATGTGTGTATGTGAGTATACATGTGTATCTTTGTGTGTGTGTGTATACACACAAACGTACCGTATGCGTGGATATAGTTATATAGAGAGAGGGCATCAGAATTTCATTTATTTTTAACGTATGCCAGTGTGTTCATAGAAAAAAGTGACAATACATTATCTTACTTTTACAGCATTTTTTTCCTTTTTGTTTATTGTTTAGACTACCATCATTATGTCTTCTGAAGAAGGAAAACTATTTGTTGGGGGGCTGAACTTTGATACTGATGAACAAGGCCTTGAACAGCATTTCAGCTCTTTTGGTCCTATTTCTGAAGGTAACGTGTTTAGCTAATAAAGGGGAATGAGTTGCTGTTGAAGATTACCAAAGAAGATGAATAACTTTTTTTTTTTTTACTTACAGTGGTTGTGATCAAAGACAAAGAAACACAGCGATCAAGAGGCTTTGGTTTTATTACCTTTTCCAATCCTGATCATGCATCAGATGCCATGAGAGCAATGAATGGAGAGGTAAGGTGTTTTTTTTTCAAAATTGTATTATCGGTTATGACTACAGTCTAAATATATCTAGCTACATGTATTTTGTGAGGTGTTTCCAGGAAGTAAAAACTAGCACAGTAGTATTTAGCTTTTAAAGCATCAGGAATTATTGATGTTTGGCATTTTTTTTACCTTTAATGTATCAATTGAAGCGTTCATATTTTCTTACCTAATTGACTAAGTTATTGGTCTCCATGATACCCATGCTGTGCATATCATTTTTGGTTATTAGTAAGGAAATAATAAGTTTGATTCAAAATGAACAGTATTTACAAACACACATAGTTTCCTTGAAAGATCTCTTATTCCACGCAAGTTAGAATGAGTCCGTCTTTCAAAATAACTTTGTTGCCTGCCTTTCATCAGCAGTATGTTTCGCATTCTTTTAAAGGTATCTGGAATTGTTCTAATGTTGTGCGGCCTTTATATTTAATAAATTATGAGTGGTGGTTTTATTACTTGGGTTAATTTGACAATGTCACTTAGCATTCATATTACTTCATTGGCTAAAATCATGTTTTAAAACAAAAATGGTTTTATGTCTAGAAGAATGTACATAAGAATAATCAGTTTCATTCCCTGACTGAATCACACCTAAAGTATTTGTTCATTATCAGTCTATAGATGGGCGTCAGATCAGAGTTGATCATGCTGGGAAATCTCGTGGATCCAGAGGTGGCTACTTTGGAGGCAGGGGACGAGGTCGTGGCTATTCCCGAGGTAAGAGCAAAACACCTATGATAAATACTTGATGCATAGAACTAAGGGTGAAAGGTGGGTTTCTGCAATTCAGCTGGCTTTGAAACTTTTTTTATTGTAGGTGGAGACAGAAGCTATGGTGGAGACAGAAGCTATGGTGGAGACAGAAGCTATGGTGGACGGTACGATAGCCGAAGCGGAGGCTACAGTAGTTCCCGTGACTACAGCAGGTAATTATGGTAGTATATATTTTATTTTACAAATCCATTCTATAGGGAACAAACATAAAATATTATCCCTTGTTTTCAGAAGTCAAGGAAACTATAATGATCGATACTCCTCAGGAGGTTCATATAGAGACAACTATGACAACTGAGGTAAGTAGGCATTGGAAAGGGAGTGAAAAAATTGTCCTGTCAAAATGCCCTTAAGCTTTCAGTGCTCCAACTTACACTGGATAGTGGCAGAAACTTACAGCTACTGAGTTAAAATCAAACATGTTTCTCTATGTATTTGTCATTGATGCAGGCCTTCAGTCAATTACTGATGAATAATTTGAGTGCATGTTGGACCTTAAAGAGTTAAATTTTTAATTGAGAAGTTATCTGAGTGCTAACTGGGGGAGGGTCTGAGATTCGTAGCAACACTAATCTAAAAGTATAGGAGTGATGAATTGCTGCAACATGTCCATAAACTTGTGCCTTTATGATTATACCTGCTTCTTGTCCTCAGCTACACCGAGTAAAAATCCTTCCTGACTCGAGATCGTCCTTCCAATGGCTGTATTTATAAAGATTTTTGGAGCTTCGCTGAATCTTGTTTAATTACCTACATGATCTTCCCCTTATAGCTTTTATCACATGTAGCCTGAAAGCTTCCTCTACAAGATGGCCTGTTAGACTTTACTCAAGGGGTTTTTTTAAAGTGGTTTTTAAGCATTTTTTAAATCCAGTTTTATTTCTCTTGCCTTTGCAATCTAAGTTTTTTTTAACTTGACACATGGGGCCCTACAAAATAAACCTGTTGGAAGCTGACCAGTCTTTTGAAAAAGTACAATCATTTGATGTTCATCTCTTGGCATAACAAGCAAGGGCAAGGGTGACAAGGCAAAAGAATCTTGGTATTATTAAAGATATTGGTGGTATTACATTGATCATAGTAAAAGCTATTTTACTGTAAACCTATAACTCGAATGCTTTGAGAGGTTCTTGAAAATGTTTGTTTATATTGTCCATTTTTTTTACTGGAAGAAATATGCATAATTTCAATTAATTGTATTTGAAGTGGAAAAGGAATTTCCTGTACTGAGGTTTTGGCTTTACGAAGCCCATTAAAATCCCATCTGAAACAATTCTCTGTTCCTAATGTTTGCACTACACATCTTTGATAGTTTAGTAGCTAGTAAGTAAAAGCATTTTAGATAAGGCCCTGAAGTGGTATCTGAGTAATGAGGGTTTTATGTATGCCAGGAGTTTAAAAAGTATGAAATACAAATGCAAAAATCTGACAAATTGGGAGGGATAATTACAGATTCTTGTTTCTCACTAAAGCAATGTCCTCCGAGCATGATTTAACACCATAATCTCTACGAGTCTAAATTATCTTGATACCAGATGAGTATTAGATTGTAAATATCAAATATGACTCAAGTATGGCCAATATATTTTTTATTCTACAATGTTCCAAAGTGTGTTGGGATCAACATTGCAATGCTACTCAGGGAAATCATTTTTACTTCTAGGAGGGGTAGTGACTTCTAGGAGGGATAGAGCCCAGTGATGACTGGGTGAAAGAACTCTTGAAACTTGCTAACAAGAATCCCAGCAGGATTTCTCAATACAGTGGCACATCGTTTTTAAACATGTGTCATTCAATAGTGAATTTAACTTAGATTTGACTCTGATGAGTTGATTAATTAATTTCTGGTTTGCAAGTTTATATAGCCATAGAAGAAACAAGATGCTAAGTTTGTAAGCTGTATGGTGATACTTGAATTTGTAACATTCCTAAATTTTTCAAATATGTTCACTGAGTAACCTTCATGGGTTGCTACTTGCTTTAACTGTAATTTACTTTAATGATGGTATTTCTAGAGTGGAGGGCATGGAAAATAACTTCCCTTGCTTGTACAAACACTTCCAAAAGTAGGGAATGCCCTACTTGGTGGTTTGAGAAATAAATGGCTTTGAGCTGGTAGAGAAATACGCTTTTGACATTTGGAAGGTCTAAAGCTTCTGTTCGGCTTTAAGGCTGGACTGATGCTTAGCTGGCCTTACCTGTAGTTAGGTCTGTCCTGTTCTTACACTGTGAGAATTCTCTGCTAGCATGTGGAAGCCAGTGTCCTTGGAGACCCCGAAGTGTGTTGTCCTCCTTCAGTGCGATCCATGTGAGACGAAAGCTGCTCTTGGCTAGTTCATTTGTGGAAATAGTCCTGTATTTCGAGGTAACTCTTTTGCTCATGTCTGCATCTTTTCTCCCATAGAGCTCCATTCTTGTTGCTGCAGCAAACAGATCTTTGTTATTGGCAAATTTATTGGGCAAATCTGGGGTCTTATTGGACCTTAGCAGAACTTGGACTTGATATATTTGGGGTTTGTTTTTTTCTAATCCTGGGGGGAGGTTCTGCCTAGCTCCTGTAACTTGACAAACTACTTCAAGAAGGAGGAAGGCAGTCAGCTAAAAGAATATTCAGATCCATTCAGCCACCCCTCTGTTCATTTCCAGTCTCTTGTGTTTTATGAAAACTTGGATTGTTACTTGGATTGATGTTTCCTAATAAAATCTAGCTTGGGTGTAGAAGCCTTCTATTCCCACTTCTTAAAATAACTTCATATAATTTGAAAAAAGGCTTAAATATGGGAGAAAAATCATGTTAATTTGGGGAATCTTCTGAGGACTTGGTGAACAGCGTCACCTGGGCCTGAAGTATCTTGTTTAGAACTCTGTAATCACTGATATTTTTGAAATTTTGAATGAACTTCTTTTAAGTGATACTTATTGTTTGCAGGCAAGAAGATTATAAGTGGTTATTCTGCCTAAAATAATAACCATTGACCTCTGAAGTAAGGAACAAGGAGATTGCTGCTTCACCAAGGTTTTAAAAACCACACTAAAGTAAGTAGTTTTTCTTCAAAGTAATACTAAATAATTCACCTACTCAATTGGCACCATCGCATAATATATGTGAGATTATAATTCTTTAAGGATTAAATTTATATGGCTGCCCAATCAAACCAACAAAGTATTATACAAATGTCATTTAAAACAAATACAAATAAAGGTGACAAGAGGAAATGCATTAGTATCATGCGCATGATGGAGAAAACACAGGCATCCTATTGGCAGGGGTTCATTAGGCCTGCTTTTAAAAAGCTACATTTTAAGAGGTTTTTGGAAAGTCACAAGGTTTGGGGCTAGCCTTCCCTCAGGTGGGATGAAATGTGCTTCCTGTAAAGCTGGATAGAAGTTGACCTTCATAGATGAAAAGTACAGAAGTCTGAAAATAGTAAATTTGTATTCCAACTTTTTACAGGCAAAATAGGATTACTTCGTTCGATTGATGCCTTATATGAGAAATGACGACAATAGCAATAGCAGTAGACTTATATACCGCTTCATAGGCCTTTCAGGCCTCTCTAAGCGGTTTACAGAGAGTCAGCATATTGCCCCCCAACAATCTGGGTCCTCATTTTACCCACCTCGGAAGGATGGAAGGCTGAGTCAACCCTGAGCCGGTGAGATTTGAACCGCTGAACTGCTGATCTAGCAGTAGCCTGCAGTGCTTGCAGTGCTGCATTTAACCACTGCGCCACCTTGGCTCACAGTGACACTAGAAAGCAAATTTTGTTAGATTTCCAGTATCACTTAAGCAAATTTTCCCTGTTGTGTGTGATACTTTGGACATACTAAGAATCTTTATGATTATAAAGGGCTATCAACATTTATTCAAGCCAATTCATTCATAGTACAGTTTTTTTTAATCTAAAACAATGTGCTGCAATATTCACAATGTGTTATTTTGGATAATGGATAGAACCCTGTGATCCCTAAGAGCCCCTTCTGTTTGAAACATTTTCTGGTATTACAATGGTATAAGCACTCACAAGTATAGCAGTTACTAAAAAGTTTTTAAAAAAAAACAGAACTAGGAGATTAGTTCCAGCACATGTGACATTGTTCTACCTTGATAGTCACAAAATATACCTATGATCATCAAAGGTTTCTTTTCTCTGTTGTATAATGATTGACTAGTATATCCTTTCTTTACAGGACTTTCTGTTCTATTTGCTAGAATAGTATAACAGTGAACCAGAGAAGAAGGGAGCCAAGATTGTCCAATCAGGTTTGTTTAACAGTTTGTATATTTTCCTCAAATAAGGGAGGTAGAGATAGAAAAAATAGAATCCAATTTTGGGGTTTAAGCATGCCTTCTGTATAACGGCAAACTTAATTTTCACCAGCTTAAATGTATTGGTTCATTGTGCTAACTTCTTCTATTTTGTCAGATTGCAGGAATTCACACCTATCAAAATTGTTGTAACAAGTATAACAGACCAAGAGGACTTGTCACTAGGTTGTATTAGATTGCTGGAAATACATCCACCCACAAGGACTTTTTTCTGATTAGCTAACTAGTTCTATCTAAGAATCCATGCAAAATTGGAAGACATCGTAATCACCTTACTGAATTTGTGTATTGATGAATAACTATTCTGATCCTGTAATGGTTTTACAAGTTGGGGAAATGGATGTACATATCTACAGTTGTGTAATTCTTGGCCTAAATTTTCTATGAATGTCAGATCAAAGTAAGAGAATCCTTAATGCTTTTGCTTAGATCATGCATTAATGCTATACAGTTGGTTATTGTTGGGTTTTTTTAAAAAGTATGTTCTCTCTACCCTTAAAACTTTCATTTCCAAAACTGTCAATATAGCAAAGTTTCTAATAAAGTGTACTGATTGAACAGTTATTGGCTTAATAATATATTCTCATTGCTTTCAGTGAGGTAATCAATGGCATAATCAGAGGACTGTTAAACTGGTTGTTATATGTAGAGAGAAAGATGCCAGCACCTGTGTCCTTGTTGTAGGAAATCACACTGACAAAGCTCTATACCACAGAAGGAGGCTAAGTGGAACATTGACCAGGGTGTGGATGAGAGGTACCCAGCCAAGTGAGGCCATCTGGAGGTAAAGGTTTGTTGTAGTGAGCAGAGGACTGGAGCAGGAAGATGTTGCCCCAGTGCCCTGTAGCTCTTTCACCTCCTTCAATGCTGGGAGCCATTTTGAGTTCTGAAGGACAATAAAACAAATGTGGGAGCCATTTTGAGTATTGGCTGAAGGACAGTAAAACAAATATGTATGCAGTGTTTATAAACTGGTCAAAAAAACAAAAACTGCAAGAAGATTTATTGGGACTGATACCAGCTGGAGGGTTTGGTGAGGAGAAGTTCACCTTGAGTGAAAGCCATGAAGAGAAGGTGCAGTCTGTGTGGTGGGGTGCTCGCAATCCAGTGAGAGAACCCTGTTGAATTACAATAACCGGTAGAAGGCTGAGTAAGTTGAGGTCTATACAGAAGCCCTTTGGGTAGCAAAGACCTTGGGAATTTGTGTGTGTGTATTTTCCACAGATCAGGACATGCACTGCTTTGAATAGGGAAGGGGTCTGAAGGGATGGGAGCAGGCTATAAGATTCCAATAGTAATGGGAGAGGAAAATGAGAGTTGGGGCCCAACTCAGCAATGGTAATACACAATCTGAATTTTCTGCCAGAGCAATGGCAGAGTGTTGAGTTTTGGGGAGATTTTGATTTCTCTCCTGCCATGGATAGATCATTCACTGGTGAACCTCAAATTCTTGGGTACCATTCCCCTCTGCATGCAGATAAAGCCTATTGGATCGGCCCACTCCAAGTGACTAATGGACTGATTGAATTCCAGAGGGAGCTTGGGGTTATTTCACAAAGCCTGCTACCTGAAGCCTTTAAATTGGATTGCACCTGAGCAGCCCCTCCAAAGATGCCCAGGGTTCCCAAAGCTCCCTAGGTATTTGATGGGATTGATGGAATAAGGATAAGAGACATCTAAAGCATTGCTGGCAAGAGACAAGGAGAAAAGACAATCTGAATGGAGTAAAGCTGCTATTAAGGCCTACCTCACAGAAGTAAGGGTGGTGGAATGCAACTATCCACCCTTAGTGCATCCAGATATTCTAACTAAACTAAATCAGCTAGCTGTACCTGACTGCACTTGTAAATGGATCATAAGCTTCCTAACAGACAGGCAGCAGCAAGTGAAGCTAGGCAAAATCACATCAGATACCTGTACAATTAGCACAGGAGCCCCCCAGGGCTATGTTCTCTCTATACATGAGTGACTGCATCTCAAAAGATCCCTCTTAAAATACTCATTTGCAGATGGTACAAGTGATTGGTCTCATTCAACACAACAATGAATCTGCATACAGACAGGAGGTTGAACAACTAGCCATATGGTACAGCCAGAACAATCTTGAATTAAATACACTCAAAACTCTAGAAATGGTGGCGAATTTTAGAAGAAAACCTATACTACCGGTACTAAACGATACTAAACAACACAACAGTAGAGACCTTCCACATTTCTGGGTTCTGTCACATCTGAAGACTTAAAATGGACACCTAACATCAAAAACGTCATCAAAAAAGCACAACAAAGAATGTTCTTTCTGCACCAACTCGGAAGCTTAAAACTGTGCAAAAAGCTGCTGATTCAGTTCTACAGAGGAATTACTGAGTCTCTCATCTGCACCTCCATAACTCTCTGGGTTGGCTCTGCAACCCAACAAGACAGACACGGACTTCAACAGAAAATTAGAAGTGCAGAAAAAACAATTGCTATCAATCTGCCTTCCATTGAGGACCTGTATACTACATGAGTCAAAAAGAGGGCTGTGAAAATATCTACAGACTCCTCACATCCTGAACATAAGTTGTTTCAACTTCTCCCCTCAAAATTATGCTATAGGGCACTGCACACCAGAACAACTAGACACAACAACAGTTTCCCCCCCGAATGCCATCACTCTGCTTTACAACTAATTCCCACAACACTGTCAATAATTTACTAAGATTGTATTGCTATTCTCTTCCTTCCTAGTATCTATCTCTCCCCACTTATGACTATAACCATGTTGCTTGTATCTTTTAATTTATATTTTTTATTGTTTCCTAGTATGATTTGATAGCTTATTAGTAACCTTGACTATAAGTGTTGTATCTTTTTATTCTTGATGAATGTATTTTATTCTCCTTATGC